CCCAAGTGCTGGGATTACAGGCATGTGCCACTATGCTTGGCTGTTAATACATTTTTTAAAGGTAGTTTATTGAGATTTAGTTCAACCTCAAAGTTTACCACATGATGGCACATGCCTATAATTCTAGCACTTTGGGGGGCTGAGGCAGGAGGGGCACAAATCTGAGCCTAGCTTTGGCAGTTTGGCAACTTAGTGAGTGAGACCCTGTCTCAAAATTTTAAAAAGTGGAGGTGCTAGAGATGTACCTCAGTGTAAAGGCCCTGAGATCAATCCCCAGTTACACCAAACACACACACAGACACACAAATCACCAATTTATAGTATACAATACAGTGGGTTTTAGTATAGTCACAAAGTTTTGCTATTAACACCACTAATTCCAGCACATTTTCATCTCCCCAAAGGGAAACCCCATACTCACCCCCTACTTGTTCTCTAGAACTATTTTCACTTTGTTTTTTTTGTTTGTTTTTGTCTTTTTGAGACGGGGTCTCGCTATGCAGTTCAGGCTGGTCTCAAGCTCACTTTGTAGCACAGGCTGGTCTCAAACTTGCAGTGATCCTACTACCTCAGTCTCCTGAGTGTTGAGATTACAGGCATGCGCCACCACGCCCAGCTCACTCTTTTCACTGTGTAAAATGGAATTCTGTGCACATTAATCAACAACTTCCCACTCCTTCTTCCCCAGCCTTTGGGACTCACCATTCTACTTCCTGTCTTAAAAATATTGCTACTCTGTGCATCTCATATAAATGGAGTCTTGCAGTATTTGTCCATTTATGACTGGCTGGTTTGACTCAGCATAATGTCAAGTTTCTTGATGTTGTAGCGTGTGTTAGGATTTTCTTCCTTTCTAAGGCTGAGTAATATTCCAATTTATGTGTGTACCAAATTTTGTTTACCTATTTGCCCATTGATGGACATGTGGATTGCTTATTCCCCTTGGCTATTATGGATAATACTGTTTAAATGGGATGAAAATGAGTGCACAAATACCTAAGTCCCTACTTTCACTTTTTTGGGATCTACACTTAAACTGCTGGACCATATAGTATTTTCATTTTAAAAAATTTGACAGGGGAATACCACGCCATTTCCAAAGAAGCTGAACCTTTTTACATTCCTACCAACAACATGCAAGGGTTCAAATTTTCCTCACCAACACTTGTTATCTTGTTTACCTATTTTTTCCCCATCTGCATCTCATTGTGATTTTGACTTGCATTTTCTGATGATTAGTGATTGCATTAGTCAATTCAGGCTGCCATAACAAACGCTACAAACTGAACGCCTTACACAACAGAAATGCATTTCTCCTAATTCTGAGGGTTGGCAGCCCAAGATGAAGGCATTGGGAATTTGATTCTTGGTGAGGGCCCCCTACCTGGTTTATAGATGGTCATCTTCTCACTATATTTCTGCATGGCCAAGACAGATCTTTCTCTCTTCCTCTTTTTAAGTTTTAAAAAAAAATTATGGCATAGTAAGTATACATATTTATGGGGTATACTGTGACATCTCCATATAAGTATACCCTGATTATAAATCAAGTACACCCCATAAATCTGTGTTATTAGATCAAGGTCATTGGCATAAGTATTACTTCAGACGTTTCTTTGTGCTGCTTCAAAATCAAAATCACCTTCACCACCTATTCTGAAATACTGGATTAACTGTTGTCAATCACCACCATCCCGCTGTGTTAAAGAACAGTGAAGGGTGTTCTTCCTACCTAATTATTCCCTCTGCCTACTAATCATCCTTTCTCCATCTCTCTACCCCATACCTTGCCCATGCTCTGATCAACACTATTTTATTCACTACTCCTTTGTCTTAGTTACTTTTTTATTGCTGGGACAAAATATCCAACACCCACAAGTTAAAAGAGGAAAGGTTTATTTCGGCTCACAGTCTGTAGAAGTCTCAGGTCATAGTAGGCTGGATCCAAGGCAGGGTGGTATGACAGAGGGGAATGGCAGGGGAGAAACAGTCCATGGCAGGGCAGGCAGGAAGCAGTGCAATTCCTTCTTCCTTCCCTTTTTGTTCCATCCAGGCTACCAGCTTTTTGGTGGGTGCCACTCACACCCACAGCGACTCTTCCTTCTTCAGTAAGTCCATCATCCATACCCAGAAATACACTAAGCCAATCAGTGAAGTACTCTAGTATCATACACCCATCCAGTCCCCTCACGAAAGCCCCACCTGTGAGTGCATGAGGCTTTAGGGGGACATCTAGATATAAGCCATAACATCCTTTGAGATCACTCTTTTAGCTGCTGCAATAAGTAAGAATATGTGGTACTTCTCTCTCTGTATCTTTAATGTATCTCTCTATATACATATATATTTATTAGTGCCTATTAATTTTTATAAAACATTGGCCTTTGATGTGACTTTTTAATACATGCATATATTCTAAACTATATCTATTTTCCCACCACCCTCCTTTATACCACCTTGCCTTTGATTCCTCCCTCTTGTCTCATAATAACCTCCCTTCTACTTTTATGTCATCTTTTAAAGATATCACATATTAGGGAAAACGTGGTATTCATCCTTCTCACTCTGGCTTACCTGCTTACCATGATCTCCACTTACATACATGTTCTTGCAAAAGACATAATTTTGTTCTTTACAGTTGAATACTACTCCATTGTGTATGTATTTTTGTTATCCATCTGTTGATGGGCACCTAAGCTGGTTCCATATCTCGGCTATTGTGAATTGTGCCACAATAAACATGGGTATGCAGGTATGCTGACTTCAACTCCTTCAGTTATATACCCAGGAGTACTGTAGCTGGTCATATGCTAGCTCTGGTTTTAGTTTTTTAAGGCACCTCCATACTGATTTCCATAAAGGCTGTACTAATTTTCATTCCTACCAGCAGTATAGAAGAGCTCCCTTTCCTTTGTATCCTCACCAGCTTTTACTGTTTCCTGTACTCTTGCCAGGCAGGTGCTGGTGCCACTGAGATATATATCCCTGGCTGTTTCTTGTGTTCTTGATAGTCATTCTGACTGGAGTGAGAAGGAATCTCAATGTAGTTGTGATCTGCATTCTCTGATGACAGAAAATGTTGAACATTTTTGGCTATTTGTAATTCTTTTGTTTTGTTTTCTAGTTTTGAGGATTGATTGAATTCACATCCTTCACGCTGAGCTACATCCCCACCGACTTTTTATTTTTTGTGTATCATATACTTAACCATAACATCCTTTGAGATCTTCAAAGGGTGAAATGGGCTTCCCTAAGTTGCACAGGCTTGTCTCAAACTTGTGATCCTCCTGCCTCAGCTCCCCGGAGGGCTGGGATTACATGCACACACAACCACATCTGGTTTATTTTTCTTTTTCTTCCTCTCTTTTTTGGGAGGCTTGGTAGGATATGTTGCAGAAGGGTCTCACTATATAGATTTAGGCTGGTCTCAAACTTACTATATTGTTCAAGTTAGTTTAAACTCATGGTAGTCTTCCTGCCTCAGCCTCCCAAGTGTTGGGGTTACAGGCATGAGCCATACACCTGACTCCTTTCTACCTCTCTTGTTCATCTTCATGGCTTGGTGGTTTTCTGTATTAATAGGGTTGGCTTCTCTTTCTCTTTCCCTTGTCTGTTCTATTATTCCATGTTGAATTTTATATTTTCATGGTGGTAGTTATCATCCTTACATTTCTAGCATAGGACTCCAGTAAGCACTGCTTTAAATCTGGTGAAATAACTTTCCTCATTTTTTGTTTGTCTCGCCTCTTTCTCTTCTTGTGTGAGAGAACCAGTCCCGCAGGATGAGTATCCCGACATTCTGGCCTCACTTAACCTTAACGATTGTACTTTCTAAAGTCCAAATCTGGGTGTTAGACAGTCAATACACAACCATTTTTTAGGGGAGAGGGACAACAATTTGACTCCTAACAATGACATTAAGCATCTTCTTGTGGAAATGTGTGTACCTGCTTTGGCCATGTGTCTATTCAAGTCCTTTGCTCATTTTTAAGTAGGATTGCTTTGTTGTTGTTGTTGAGTTGTAGAAATTCTTTACATATTCTATATCTAAATCTTTTATCAAGTATATGATACACAAATATTTTCTCCCAGCCTGTGAGTTATAGTTTTATTTCCTGATGGTGTTCTTTAATGTTACCAAGTATTTTATTTTCATGAAATTGTATTTATTTTCCTTTTGCTGCCATATCTAAGAAAACACTGCCTAATTCAAAATCATGAAGAGTTTCACTCTCACTTCAGGCTTATTGTCCATTCTCAGGTAATATCTGTATACACTGTGAAATATTCCTCTTCTTATATTCCCCAAGAATATCATAGCTTGAAAACATTCTTTATGAGATTAGATATGGGAAAAATGGTAAAGACCTTTTTTGTTTGTTGTTTGGTTGCTGTTCCTGAGGATTTTTAAAAAACACGGAATCACTGCAGACATGAGAAATAACACCTAATAAATCCTCTGAAATGTACCACATCTACATTAAGTTTATTCAGTTTGTTTTGTTGAATTTTAACAAAAATTGTTAAAATTGTTTGCTTTTCTGAATTTTAAAATTCAGAGAAATTTAAGCTTAACAGGAATGGCTGGCAATATTAACTGAAATAAGAGTTTTTGAAAGATTATGAATAATATCTTGATTACAAATAAAACTGTGGTCTCATCTTTTTAGCTCAAAATTGGCCAAGACTACCTATCATTTTTTAGTTTGATTAATAGCAGAGTAAGTAATTAGAGTGGAAAAGAGATTAGCAAATTATTCAAGATGTCAAGTGTAGTCAAAGTGCCATTTTGTTGTAGATAATATAGGAAAGTTCAAGCGACAGGTGTACATAATAAATAGGAACTGAGAGTATCCAGGTATTGAAGGGTAGGCAATGTGTTTAAATGAGTACTATTTGGTTAGATTTGCTTTTCTTCCTCTGAATTATCATACTATTGTATTTGCCTTTGATTCCTTGACATTCTAAGATTTGGTATGGATTTTCTTTTTGCTTTGCAGGACATACAGAATCAAAAATTAAAGACGAGCGTGTGGTACTGTGAGGTAAATGATTATGTTTGCTTCTGTGCATACTGGATTTTTGATCTGGGTCTGCTTGAAAATACAATTTTTCTAAGGAACAGATTTTACCTTTGCAGTTGTTTTCCCTTAGCTCTGCAGCAGACCTGGTCTGTTAGAATCCGTGCAGGATGTATGGCCATATATTCTGCTTGGGGCCACCCCCTTGAGGAACTGGACAGGAAGTTCTCTCCCCTAACAGAGAGTACTCGGGGGCTGACACACTGGATCATTAATCTAAAGCTCTTCTGGGGTCTTTAGTGAGACTGACCTCACCCTGTTTTGATAAAGTTCTTTTCTGGCTACTCCTCACAGGTTTGGTCTGATGAGTTCTTGTCCTGGAACGCCAGCATGTTTGATGAGATTAGAGAGATCTCTCTGCCTCTCAGCACCATCTGGGCCCCTGATATCATCATCAATGAGTTGTAAGTGCACCGGCTGTGTTGCTGCGGGGTTTTAGACCACTTAAAATCAGACCAGTTGACTGTTACTTTCAATCATTCTTACTTTTTTTTGTTTCTCAAGTTGAAAGGAAGCATCCTGTTGGGCATATTCAGGGGAGAAGTATCAAGAGCTGGCATCACGTAAGACAAAGATTTGATTACTGTGCTTGAGGTCACTCTAGCAGATGAATGAACCTATGGATACGGGGGAAAAACTCCCAACCTGAAAGATATCTGGGACGAGTTCCTGTTCTCTAAAATCAAAGAATGCATTTTTGGAACAATGGAGGTTAAGAGCAGAATATACCTATTGAGGGAAAGAAAGCTTCTGTCCGAGAGAGGGACAGAAGGGGGGCCTGAGTGGGTTGCCCAGGAACTTGTGTTTTCTAGGGATTTTTATAGAGAAAACCACAAGGTGAGGCAGGTCCAAGGTGGAAAACATAGGAACTCGCTAGGTGGGCATGAGGTGGGAGAAAACTATGGTCAGCCAGTAAGATGACAAGTATAATTGTTTAGGTAAAGTTGGTTAAATTGGGATCAAATGGGGAAGCAAGTCACGTAGCAAGCGAGTATGAATACAGAACAGGGGCCTTTCCTGTAGGGAGTTGGGCTAATGACTCTACCTGGCTTCTTCAAGGTGATTGCTACCTATTTAGAACATCAATCCCTGAGGTCCATCCCTGGGGAACTATGTGGGCGCATCTGTTTAATCTTTTGTCCACAGCTGGAGGTGTCTGTCTCCCCCACAGTTGCAAGGTATCTCCTCTTCGGTACTGGCTTCTTCAAGGGCCTGACCCTGGCTGACTGCCTATAACATTTTTAATATTTCTATCGAACTCAGCTGCCTATCACACTAGGAGACTATCACTACATCTTTGCCAGGGTGACTCATCTCATGGGAAATGCAATTCTCTTCGCAGCGCTAGGCTATTCCTAGGTCTCATAGTCACTATCACCTTAAAATCAATTCTGTATATGTTTTGAAATAACTAAAACCCTCTTTATAACTACAAGTGCTCTTGTGTCTCCTACAGTGTGGACACTGAAAGATCTCCTGACCTTCCCTATGTTTATGTGAACTCATCTGGGACCATTAAGAACTATAAGCCCATCCAGGTGGTGTCTGCATGCAGCCTACAGACCTATGCTTTTCCCTTTGATATCCAGAACTGCAGCCTAACCTTCAATAGCATTCTGCACACAGGTAAACTGAGACATACAGTACACTAGCTGGGAAACCACCTGTGCTGGGTTGGCATATATATTCTCTCACAATTGAATGAGATGGTAATCAAGTTATATAATCATTTCATGTTTACTTTTAAAAATGTAGATCTCTTCTTGCAGGTATTTGGCTCCTGCTACAATTCAGACCAGATAGAATGGGATAACCCACTGCTGCTCTTAATTTGTGGTTACAATATCAGGATGTTACTGTTATTGAGAATGGTATAGAATCACAGAACAAGTGCCTTCATTCTGTGCAGAGGGGACACCAAGCCTTACATGTATAGTTTTCTTCATTTTAATGACTAGAACAATTTTATTCTACATCTTCACTGCTAATTCAAATGAGGTCAATAAGGCTGGGCATGTAGGGGGAGGAGAGAAGGGAAGGATTTGAACTGGGAGTTGGAAAATGGGTTGATGTTGGCACCTCCTTCTCTCCTGGGAAGTAAGCTGTTTCTGTCATTTACAGTGGAAGATGTAGACCTGGGCTTTCTGCAGAACAGAGAAGATATTAAGCATGACCAAAAATCATTTTTGAATGACAGCGAGTGGGAGCTGCTTTCCGTGTCCTCAACATACAACATCTTGCAGAACAGTGCTGGAGACTTTGCACAGATTCAGTTTAACGTAGGTTTTTCTTTTTCCTCTCCCATTGCCCATTTCTCCGCAGTCCTTGTCCTTCTCCGTCGGGTTCAGGAATCTCTGCTTCACTGCACGTCCTCCTTTATTATCACACAAGAGAGCCGGGCAGTAATCCCAGCACTCCGGAGGCTGAGGCAGGAGGATCATTGTGAGTTCAAGGCCAGTCTGGGCTACAAAGTGAGCTCAAGGCCAGCCTGAACTGCAAAGTGAGACCCTGTCTCAAAAACAAAGCAAAACAAAACAAAAAACAAATCACACAAGAACAGTTAGTTCACACAGCTCTGGGTATCTACCAAGATCAGAGGTTCAGTGAGAGAACTTGGGATCCTATTGTAGATAGTTCACCAGGGAAAGCAAAGAGAATGGCATTCAGACACCAGAGCCCTGAGCAACTCCCTTCAGCAGGAATCCTCAAACCTTTCAACACACGGCAACATTATCACTTCTAATTCTACCGAGAAAAACAAGCAGACTCACCACCACTCACAGGTGGGAAGTCTATCTGAGTAATGTGATTGTCCTGTTTTTAATTAAGTAATTATAAATTAATCTCAGATGCATACAATGCTCATGTTAAGAGCCTGGGAGTCTGAAGGGATTAGCTAATAGTCACCTGCAGGACTCACAGCAGACCCTGGTGGCTTCTGACTCAGAGAAAACAACTGCCAGAAGGGATGTGCTGAACCTCTGCTCCTCCCACACACCCCTGAGAATGCTGTCCAGTGCATTGTTCCTGGAGAAATTTGTCTGTTGGGGCCTTAGGCAGTGGTAGGTGGGTGTAAGACAGTGGAGTCTGTCAATTTGCACCCCAGAGGCAGCCATTCTCTCTCCTTTTTTTTCCTGGCAAATGGTCCTGCCAAGCAGTCAGCAGAAGGCTCAGCCTGTGTATTTAGCAGTGCATTGGCTTTTCTATGCAGAACTGGCCAGGGGTAGTGGAGGGGGGTGAGGAGGTCCCTCTTCCCCTGTAATGGATCCAATTGGAAAACAGAGACTTCAGGCAAGTTGTAATTGCACACAAGATGAATTCTCCTTGAAGGTGAGGCACACCTTTGGAAGAAGAAGGAGCAGGACTAGACCAGTGATGGCGAACCTTTTAGGACCAAGTGCCTAACCTGAAACCCAAAACCCTCTGCAAAATGCCAACACTGCAATTATATCTGAATACTGAGTTTTAGTTTAGAAAAAACAACTCATACATTTACATCTTTTGACTTAAAAAAAAAAACTACAGTAGCAGAGCTTTCAATGATACAAATAGCTTTTTATTGGAAGGTAAAAGTTTGCCTTTGTGCCAGGCATGATGGCGCAAGCCTGTAATCCTAGCCCTCAGGAGACTGAGACAGAAGGATCGCCGTGAGTTCGAGGCCAGCCTGGGTTCCACAGTCAGTTTGAGGCCAGCCTGCACTATGTAGTGAGACCCTGGCTCTGGAAAACAAAAGTTTGCATTTGGCATGCTTTTGCATATTTGCTGTTGTATACTTGCTGATAATCCATCAAACCTTAGCTCATACCTCCTCAGTGTGAAAGCAACACACGCCGCACTCGGGTCATCTGATAATGACTGGTGCTGCTATGCCTTTCTGAGCATGCGCAGGGTCTTTCTGTTCGCTGTTATCTGACGCTCGGCTGCTGGGGCAGTACTGGGCAACTTGGCTGTGTGGACAGAGAGGGTCTGCAAGCCCACTGCGGCCCACTGTTCCCCAGCACTGGACTAGACTAAAGTGCCATGGTTACAGTGGACGTGCTAAGAGTGGTGGTGAAACACGGTGTGACTGAAGGACAGGTATCCTCCTTTGGTTAGCAGAGTTGCGTGCAGCTTTCCAGCAAAACTCTTGTGAAGTTGGGGTCTCCTGGAGACACCTGGGGTTTAAACCTCACTACTGTATAACACTGGCTAGCAGCTAATCCCAAGTCCCACCTTCCTAGGAGTAGGATGAGGTTTGAGTTCTTATGTAGAATTCCGCTTGGTTTTTAGCAAAGCTTGTGCTGTGGCCTGCTTGTCCACTTTTTTTTTTTTTTTTAGCAAAAGAAAGGGAAGGGGAAAAGAAGCTTTTAAAAAAAAAAATTTTCAATGAGTTTCTTGGCTAAGAGTAAACACCTCATTAATTTTAAAGATAACAGCCTGCAAACATTATTAATGCAGCCCGAATAATGGAGAGCATTAAAGGGAAATGTGAGGGAGTAGCACGTGCAAGGTGGGATATCGTCACCTACCAAGTACTCCTGAGAACGCTGCACACACCATTACCTACACTGCACGGCGGAGACAAGCAGAGGCAAGAGATCGGGCAAGTAAACAGCAGCAAACGTGTGTGCATCTCTGCGCATGTGCGCACACGCTCAAGCACTCTCCGGGCGGCAGCGTTTGTAGTTACGTGTTGCCCTTTGCCTTAAATATTAATTTTTCTTCTCAACGTCAGCTGAAAGTTTTCTTTGTATTCCCTACATTTGGAATATGACGGATATAGCTGATAAGAAGATTGCTGACCAGGGAGGAGTCTTTCCCAGGTCGATGATTCATGCTTTAGGTCCTCTGTTCCCTTCTCTGCCCTGTTTCTCCCCTTTAGGCTGTGTGCATGGAGGCACGCCCCAGCGAGGCACCCACTTGATTCCTTGCTCTTGAAGACTTCTGCATGCCTTGGCCCTAGTGCCATGAGAGGGCTGGTTTCTACTCTGGTCCTCCAGAACAGAGTAGCGAAATGATCCTGTGTAGAGGCACAGGTCACGTTAGACAGACTTAGGAGTGATTCTGCAGCTTTGGAAAGACTTAACGTAGATTCTGCTACTATTACAATTCTCCATCTCTCTCAGCCTCTCAGCGTCTGCTTGCGCCCTGACTAGGCTCGCCGTCCTTGCTCAGTAGCAGACAGACAGCTCTGCATTCAGCATCTAAGACTTGCTGGTGTCTTTCAACCAGCCTTGCCAGTGGTGTGAAACCCAGAGCCCATCCCATGCCAACACCGGGCCTGCCAGGATCCTGACAGCAAAGGGCCATCTCTCTCCTAAACTAACCACCCACTGTGGCCCTGTCCAGGCTGTCCAGCAAGAGGGTGGGGACAGGTGGAGCAGGCAGGGGAGGTGACGATCTCATCTAAATACATCATCATCTTAGGCCTGTTGTACCCTGCTGCTGCTTATACTAAATCAAACACTGCGGATGCCCTGTTAGTTCCAGCTAATGTGCAATCAGAGCTGCTGGCTCCAGGACACGTACTGTTTATTAGAGGGCACCAGTGATGCTTTGGAGTCGGGCTACATTCCACAGGGGGCCCAGAGCAAGACACTTCTCCCCACAAGGACGTCTGTGTGCAGCCAGGCCCAATCCAGCAGCCATAGGAGGGCAGGTGTCCTTCAATACATTATTGAAGGTACCAGTTCCCAGAAGCAGCAGGGTGAGGTTTTGATCTGAACGGCAGTGACTTTTTTTAAGTGAAGGTAGAAGTGGGAGGAGGTAGGGATAAAATTTAGAAACTTCTGTTGGATGGAAAAGAGCAGACAGCTATGGGAGCTAAGCCAGCCCAGCCAGATACCTCACACTGAATGAAGTGTTCATTCAGGCGGGAGGTGGGGTACCCACAAAGCACTCCTAGGTAAATGAAAAGGTGCTTCTCTTTCCTTCCATTTTTCCATTGTAAGGTTCTTATATATACATATATTTTTTTTTTCTTTTTCTTTTTGAGACAGGGCCTTGCTATGCAGTTCAGCCTGGCCTTGAGCTCATTTTGTAGCCCAGACTAGTCTTGAACTTAAAACGATCCCCCTGCCTCAGCCTCCTGAGTGCTGGGATTACAGGCATGCGCCACCACTCCCGGCTCTATATTTAATTTTGTTGAGATTTCCATGGAATTCAGTTTATAAATTTGATAGAAGATCCTTCAGGGCACCAACAGAGGAGAAAGAGAGAGAGAGAGAAAGAGAGAAAGAGAGAGAGAGAGAGAGAGAGAGAGATTAGGGGCTTAGGAATCCTTCCCAGGTCACTCAAATCAATGCATGAATCATGGAGTTTCTGTGAGTCCAGCCCAACCCACAGTCAAGATCCAAGAAACTCTCACCCCAGTGCAAAGATCTTCTTTAAATGGAAGTAACTTTCCCATTCTTTCTGAACTGGGAACGTTGGGAGGGGCTAGGAAGAGGAGGAAAATGGGCTTCTGTATGAAGCGTGAGCCTGGGCGTCAAAATTCCAACTATGTCATAAAGACGGTCATGCAAAATTGAGTACTGGTGGGGTCTACCATCAAGGAGGCAATTATGGGCTAACCTTGGGGCCTATTGCATCTCCAAGGAGCTCTCCACACACACATTCTGAATTAGATTGATCTCTTTCATTAACATCAATAGGCTCCAAATACCTTTGTGTACTTATTATTACCTGGCTTTAATGGATAATGAAATTGTGGCATAATATTGCTAACACCTGAAGGGTGTCTAATGGAGAACACGGACTGAAACTAAAGTGCTTTTTCTTCCTTTTCTGTTGAATTTAAAGGCACCAGCTCCTTTAGCCCATTAGAAATGATGGGCTTTAGGCAGGTAGGGGTGGTTTCGCAGAGATCAGTGCCTCACTGAGCTGGCGATACTTCTTTCCAGCAAAAGCAGGGGTTATGGCTTCTGGCATGATTTATGAGAGGCAGCCTGTAGAAAGACTGGCCTCAGTAGGATCGCCCCCAAATGGGGCACCTCCTCACTGCCATCCCATTGGGACTAGCGGTAGCATTATTAACAGACTCCAATACATTTCAGTGAGTGTCTTTTTGAAGTGCCAGTTCCAATGGTAAACACAAAGATGAATAAAAGTGGCTCCTGACATCTATCTTGGACCTCAAAGTCTGCCCAGGGAGACATGATAACAACTTCAAGACTGAACACTTGATGCTAGGCACCAATCAAAGAGTCTGTAGATGTTTACATCTGTGAGGTAGGCCCTCGAAGTATCTGGATGTTTACACGTGAATGGACTGAGGCCAAGAAGTTAAGGTCACGAGGTGACTAGTGAACTAGTGGAGACTGGCCTGGAGCCCAGGCAATCTGACTCCAGAAACCGTGTGCCTAATCCTACACCACGATGACGCAGTTAAAGGCAATGCAGCGCCTTCCGGTCTGTTCTTCGGCAGCTGCACGCTGTGCCTTACCAGGCAAGTCACCTGCAGTAGCTTCTCAAGGAGCCATCACAAAGCACTCGGTGGCCTAAGCCAATGGCTGGAAGTCTGGCATCAAGAAGCCCAGTCTTCTGGGCATTCCCAAGGAGAATGCCAGCAACCACTGGCATTGCTTGGCTTATAGACCCATTGTTCCATCTGCTCCCACCTGCACTTTGTGTTCTCTTTGCATGTTTCTTCTCTTCGGAGGCCATCAGCCATACCGCATGAAAAGCTCCTCTTACCCTAGGATGACTTCATCTTAATTAAATGTATCTTCAGTGATCACATTTCCCAATTAGATCATATTCTGAAGGACAGGAAGCCTTGGGGACACTGTTTGCCATAGTAGAGTCTACCATACCATGACCCTTAAAACTCACATCTGTCTCATGTGCAAAATACATTCACCCACCTCAGCATTCCCAGAAGTCCTAGTCTACTCTATCACCAACTCTAAATCCAAAATAATCACCTAAATATCAATGCAGGAAGTCCCAAGTCTCACCACCTAACTTATATAAACTATGTGTACACTCTGGTCATGTTCCATTCTGGGGCAAAATTCCTGTCCAGCCACAGACTTACAAAATATCCAACCACCAGAGTTGGGTTCATGAACCTGTAAGGCAGAGTCCAGGAGAAAGGCCTGTCCCATTAATAATCTAATTCTAGGGGCTGGGGATTTAGTTCAGTGGTGCAGCGCCTGCCTCCCAAGTGCAAGGTCGTGAGTTCGATTCCTGGCACCAGAAAAAAAAAAAAAAATCTAATTGTAGCATTTAGGATCGTGCCTGGCACCCTGTTCACACTCAATTATTTTTTGCTGAACAAAGGAGTAAAGGACACTGAAGATCAAGTGATGTCATGAAGAAAAAGTTTCTGAAAACTATATGATAAAATTAGTTTTTTAAGGTTGCACTGGACTTATAGAGAAAATTAGTCTAATCTGAAGGGAACATTGCCTGTAAATCAACCCAAAGAAAAAAGGTGGGTTCCTTGTTCTGGAAGAGAATCAAACTAGTAGGGACTATTTGGTCTATTTTAGGAGTGGGAACATGCCTCATCCTAAAGGTAAGAGAAGAAGGGATGAGGTGGTTCTGAGGGGGTTACAATTTTATAATCCAGAGACAGAAAAGTTCTGTTTTGTTTTGTTTTGTTCTGTTTTGTTTTGTTTTGTTTTGTTTTGTTTGAGACAGGATCTCACTATGGAGCCCAGGCTGGCCTTACTTCGATCCTCCTATCTCAGCCTCCTGAATGCTGGGATTACAGGCATGTGCCCCTCAAAACCAGCGGGAAAATTCTTTGCTTTATGTCACAGCAGAAGTGAATTGTCCACGTTTGTACTTATGTTTTTCCTCTCCAGCACTCAGCTGATGCTGACGTCCAGTGAACAATAGCTTGCTGACAGAATCTGACATAATCTGTAGGTCTCACTGCAAAATCAAAATGTGAAGCCTCTTATTCAAAACTTATTAAAAACTTGTGAACAGCACCAGCACAGCAGTAAGCCAAGTTCAGGGCTGTGTGAGCCTGCTCAGCTCTCTCACCCACGAGACCAGCTGCCTCCTAACCTCTTAGCTCTGTCTTCCCAAACCTCTCCCCTGATCCCTCCAGGACTATGTGGTCTGACAAACCGGCACTCCTCAGGAATTAGGGGGATTTCAGCTTTGATTTACATTTACTGTCTGCATCAGCCCCTGGGTAGAGAGCAATCATCTTCACTGTATTTAAAGAGCACAACAGATCTCAGACCCACACAAGATGTTTGATAAGGCAAAAACAAACTATCTTAAGAAAAGCAGGGCCGGGGTAGTGGCGCACACCTATAATCTCAGCACTTGGGAGGCTTTGGCAGGAGGATCGCCTACATTTTAGGCTAGCTAGTTTCTGCTGCATACTGAGACCTGGTCTCAAAAACAAAAAAGAATAGGAAAGAGTAGGAACACAGAGCCACAGAGAGGTTACCTCATGCAGGATCTCGTAGACTTGCTCAGGATCACTTAGAATGGAGGCCCTGGAAAACTCTTCTCCCTTGATTTTAAGTCTGAAATCTTAAAATTTTGGCCAAACCAACATGCCCACTTGTACTTTTCCTAATGGAGATATTCTTAGACTTTTCTTGCCCTTCATGCAATCTCTGCCAAGGGGGAAATTCCCATTTCTACCCTCCAGAGACAGCAGACCTGATCGCCACCCAACCCCATGAAGCCAGATCCCCTCTAGCCCAGGCTGGGTCACGAGGGACTCTGAGACTTGAGCTCTTTCTCCTGCCCACACTGCCCACTATCTCAATCACATATGATGACAGGACCCGGAGAGCTGCAGGCTGGTGACAGATAATTTTGTTATTGTTTTTCTCGTTGGATGCGCTTTGGTAGAAATGTGTTTTAACCAAATTACTGCAAGGCAGTGAGTATTGCTCTGGTGTAGGTGTTTGCAGCCAATTACACTTAATATGAAAGACAACAGCCAGATTACAATCCACCAAATGGCTCTGGCCTGGCAAGCTCTGCTGAGCTGAGCTGGGATGGGCTCCCGGACCTGGTGGCTGGGGAGCCCTCATTCCGATCGGTTAGCTGGGCTCTGGACTGCCCCGGCCAGGCTGCTCCCCTGCCGTCCTCTGCCCCACTGCTGGGCGCCGCCTGTCATCTCTGCCTTGGCTTCTGGAGCAGGAGTGGGAAATGAGACAGAAGGGCGCTGTCCTTACTGAAGACGCCCAGATCCGGTCGAATGTGCTGCCATGGAAAAGTGCAGGAGGAGTCTGACACTGGGGGAGCACGCCCAACTCTGCCGCCGTCTCATCTTACGTAAGGGGGCTAAGCTGTGTTTTTGGAAAGCTGCAAAGTGGAGCATGTTCCTTACTAACAAGTTAGCAGTGAGGATTATATAAATCGCACCGTTTGAGTAAAATGCATGCAGCACTTTGTCCGACAGGACAGGTAGAAAGCATTTCATTGTTTGGTAAATCCAACAAACAAGATTCGAAGCATTATTTGTCTAAATCCAGTAGCAAAGGGCCTAGGATGTTGTTCATTTACTTGATAAACATTTGTTGAATATCTACTATGAGAAGAGTCTCATTTTTGCTCCCTGGAGGATTATCACTATCCTAGAAACGGTATGAAATGAGGTTCACAGTCTAGCGGGGGAAGCAGCTCAGCTTCATATTCCCTGGTTTCTTTTTAGGCAGGATGAGAAGAGTAGGTGTTGCTTAAAGACATTTTTCCTGTCACTATCCCAGAGAACCTAGCTATAAAACAAGGCAGTAATAGTGATTTTAGGAGGCTCGAATTCCAAGCTATAAAGCTAATCTGTGTGGATCCACAGTACAGACTAAACTGAATAGCTTTGTTTGCCCTACTCTAGGGGAACCCACATCCCCTGCTCCTCCCTCTCCTTGCTCCTAGAGGCTGAGCTGGGGCGTGCAGAGATGGGAGCTGTGATCAGGGGAGAAAGGCACAGGAGCAGGGACAGGAAGTTGGAAGGAGTTGGCATGTGGTCACTGTCAAACTGGCTGTGTCCCCAGGAGAAAGCCACAGCGCTTGCCTGTCTGCTCAGCCTGCTCTCTCCTCAGGTCTGGCTGCTACTCCCAGCCCTTGACCCCTTCAGGCCGAGGGGTAGTATCTGTTCACTCAGTCCCCAGAAGTCCTGAAGTACTCATCTTCTTTTAGGGGGTGGGGACACTGGGAATTGAACCCAGGACCTTTGCACTGAGTTACCTCCCCAGTCCTGTTTGTGTCTGTTTGTTTTGAGACAGAATCTTATTAGATTGCTTAGGCAGGGCTCCAGGTTGGGATCCTCCCACCTCAATTTCCCAGAGAGCGGGGATTACAGACAGGAGTCACCAAGTTTGGCCCTGCTGTTATGGTGGTTTCTTTATACCATGACCACATCTTGCAAAGAGTCTCTTTGTTGAGCCCACCTCAAATTTACTCATTTTACTGTGCTACTTGTTCCCACTCAGACTCTGATAGATCCCATAGTGCCAGGGAGCTCACATTCCAAGAGACTGGAAAACTAACTGGGAAATAATGCACAATAATTTTGCATAACAAGTGGTTTAGGATAAGGAGGATTTTTTGTTTTGTTTTGTTGTTTTTGAAACAGGGTTTCATTAAGCAGATCAGGCTGGCCTTGAACTCACTTTGTATACCAAGCTGGCCTCAAACCTGTAGCAATCCTCCTGCCTCAGCCTCCCAAGTGCCAGGATTACAGGTGTGTGCCACCACACCTGACCAGGTTTTGGTGTTAAAATAGTTTTGCGCCAACTGTGTACATTTGGACAAGTAACTCAACCTCTTTGAACCTCACTTTCCCTGCTTGTAAAATGGAAACAACAACAAAACTCAGCCCTTAAAGTTGTGAATAAACATGGGATACATTTAGTCTAATGCCTGGTACATAAGCGATAAATAAATGATAAGTGCTTCTTATTTTAACTATCAATAACATTAACATTAGCTCTGGGGCTGGGGAGATAGCTCAGTGGCAAAGCATCTGCCTGCCAAGTACAAGGTCCTGAGTTCAATTGCTGGTTCACAACAAAAAACATTAGCTCTACATGAAAGCTTAAAAGACATCTTTTTTCCTAAATGACAAAATAACCTCAAACATATTTCTAAGATAAACTACATAGACTGCAAAAAGATTGAGATCTGAGGGAGTATTCCTGGCCACGGATTTGACCAAGTGCTAGTCCATCAGTGTAGATTAAACAGAGGCTTTTCTCTGGCCAGGTGGTGATTCGCAGACGCCCCCTGGCCTATGTCGTGAGCCTGCTGATTCCCAGCATCTTCCTAATGCTCATGGACCTGGGGAGCTTCTATCTGCCCCCCAACTGCCGGGCAAGGATTATATTCAAGACCAGCGTGCTGGTGGGCTACACTGTCTTCAGGGTCAACATGGCTAACGAGGTGCCGAGGAGTGCAGGGGGGACCTCTCTGATTGGTAAGCAGCCTCAAGACCACCTGACACCCATCGTGCACCGGTCCAGGGAGAGACCTGTGGCTGCCTTTCGGAGGACAGCAGGGAGAGGCCGCAGCTCGGGCTAACTCTATCGTCCCTGCTCTGCTGTTCTCCCTTAGGTGTCTTCTTCACAGTCTGCATGGCCTTCTTAGTGCTCAGCTTGTCTAAGTCAATCCTCTTGGTCCAATTTCTCCACAACGAACAGTGCAGTGGGCGAGAACAGCCCCTCTTATGCCTTCAAAGGGGTGCTGATGCTGAAGGATCTGGAGTGGACCCCAGGGCCCCGTGTGCTGGGGGAACAGGTTTGTGAGAAGCCCTGAGCTCCCTCCCCTGCCTTGCTTTATCCCTCTGGGCACCAGTGTCCACTGGCAAAGCACCACATGCCAGACTGTGTGAAGAACCCGAAACAGCTGCTCCTGACGCCCTGTGTTGCAGTTTACATTACCTCTCCAGGACCAAAGGTCACCTCCTGCTGAGGTCATTTTAGCTGGAGGGTCAGGTCCTCAGTTATCCTTAGCTTGTTTCATTTTCCAGCTTGCTCTGACGTGAACACACACACACACACACACACACACACACACGCACAAATGGCGAGTGGTTGTATATATTGGAGTCCCAGTCGCTTAATTTGAAAAAACACATAAATCATCCCCCAGCCCCTACAACTCCAACTGAGTCAATTGGGGCTGGTCCCTAGCTCTGAAAATCTCCTAGGTGAATCTCCCCTCCTTACACTCTGCTTAGACAACACAGCTCTGCCGTGTGCTCCAGGCCCTCTTTCAGCACAGCTGTGCCTACTCTAAGCAGGGAGGGCAGAAGTCCCTGACCCCAATCCCAACCCACTGCCCAGGGTTGCCTACCACCTCCCTTGAAGGCTGAGGCCAACAGCTTCAAGGCAAAGCTCAGCTGCCCTTGTTAGCCTCTGGCTCACCTAATGTTTTGCTCTATTGTTTTGCTCTATCATGCAGAGTCCCCAGTTTATCAAGAGCACCAGGCCCAGACAGGGGCCCTGAAAGAAGTCTGGTCCCAGCTTCGATCCATCAACAACTCCCTCCAAACTCAGGACCAGGTGGACCAGCAGGAGGCTGAGTGGCTGGCTCTCCTCTACCGCTTCGACCAACTGCTCTTCCGAAGCTACCTTGCCATGCTGGGGCTCTACACCATCACCCTGTGCTCTCTCTGGGTTCTGTGGAGTGGCTTGTGAAAACTTAAACTGCTGGCCTTAATCACCACGCTCTCTAGCACTTAGGGAAGCTGAAATATTTCTTTTCTTTTTCTTTGTCTTTTTGAGACAGAGTCTCGCTGTGCAGTTCAGGCTGGCCTTGAGCTCACTTCGTAGCCGAGGCTGGAATCGAACTCGCAACGATCCTTCTCCCTCAGCCTCCCGAGCGCTGGGATTACAGGCATGAGCCACTACGCCCGGCCTTGAAAATATTTCTGAGAGGAGATGGAAGGGGGAGGAATGATGATTTTAACTCTATTTTTTTTTAATTTCTTTTTTTTCCGGTACCAGGAATTGAACTCATGACTTCATGCTTGCCAGGCAGGCGCTGTGCCGCTGAGCTAAATCCCCAGCCCCGAGGAATGATGATTTTAAAAGCTTCCCACCCACCTCTTTTGCCTCTTTTTTTTTTTTGAGACAGGGTCTCATTATGCAGTTCAGGCTGTCCTTGAGCTTACTTTGTAGCCCAGGCTGGTCTCGAACTCGCAACAATCCTCCTGCCTCAGCCTCCCAGGTGCTGGGATTACAGGCATGTGCCACCATACCCAGCAGCCTCTTTTCATTGAGTCCTAGAACACACACTATAGACAATAGGTGATCCAGGAATAAACTGTTTAGGATGAACATGCATAAACAAAACAAGGTGTACAGTGAAGAGTAAGCCTTCGCTCCCCAGGAACCTAGCCATCTCTTTCAGAAAACACCTAGGCACGCGCATGCTTATATGTATGCCTAAACTGTTGTTTAAGAGTATAAGATCCTCCGTCTCCCAGCTCTGCCTTTGTCACTTATTCAGTCATTCATTCAACTAAACCTTTACTGAGTGTTGATTGAGAACTAGGAATTATGCTAGATACGCCAGAGAATGGAAAATAAGTGGTCATGGAGTATTCTCCACTTGATTTGATTCCCAGAACAACCTTGAATCGATCAGAACACAAAACTCCTGCCCTCTCTGTACCTCCTGAAGCTCTCGTTCCCACTCTTCCGGCTCAGGCACTGCCCTCATCTTCCTTTTGTGCCATGGAGAACCCAGCGCCAAGGCTTCCAGGCCCAACGCGGCACAGCACGCAGTGAGCACCACCATGTGGGAGGCACTGAGCTGGGGCAGGTCCTTCCATTCCAGGAACTTATAATCCACTCTCCTCGGACTAGTCAGCTGCTAGGGCACCTTAATAAAAAGCTGCAGCCTGAGCAGCAACTTGAACAAACAGAAAGTGATTTTCCCATTACTCTGGACGCTGGAAGCCCGAGATCAAGGCTCCAGCAAAGGTGATTTCTTCTGAGACCTCTCTCGTTGGCTTCTTGACTGCTGTCTTCTCCTGCATTTTGACGTAGTCCTTCCTCTACCCATCCACATACCTATGACTGTTTCCTCTTCCTTAAAGGGACACCGGTCCTTGCAGATTAGGGTCCATCCGAATGCCCCCATTTAACCTTAACTACTTCTTTCAAGTCACTGTCTCCAGATAGTCATGTTCTGACGCACTAACAGCTAGATTTTGGAAGGACACAAATCAGTCCGTAACTTGCATGCAATTGTGGAGACTTAGCAATTTCAAAATCTTCCAGGCAGACCAGCAGGCTGGAGACACAAAGAGAGCTGTAGTTTGCATCCGGAGGTGGTCTGCTGGCAGGATTCCCTCTTCTGGAAGACTCAGTCTTTTTAGGTCCTACTTTTTGTTTTTGTTTTTGTTTTTCCAGTACCAGGAATTGAACTCACAGCCTTGTGCTTGCCAGGCAGGCGCTGTGCCACTGAGCTAAATCCCCAGCCCGACTCAGTCTTTTTAAAATTAAGGTGTTCAACCAACTGCATGAAGCCCACCCACATTCTGGAGGGTCATCCATTCTATTCCAAGTCTACTGATTTAAATATTGAACTTATCTACCTATGAAATAAATCAGACATACAAGTTTGCATATCACATGGTTTTTCCTATATGAGAAATCCAAAATATAAACAAAGAGCAAAATAACATATAGACAATAGATCTTTATCATACAGGAAGGCAACTGAGAGACAGAGGACTGGGGGAAGAGGCGGGCTAAAGGAGATTTTAAAAGGGGAATTGTGGTATGTTGTATATATGTACCAAGTCCTACAAGGAATGCATTATGCCATGACATCTATCTATCTATCTATCTATCTATCTATGGAAAGGGACAAAAGAATTAAGATATGTCCTTTACCAAGTCCCTACAATGAATATAATCATTTTACTACAAAAATATACTAATAAAATTTTTTTGAAATAAATAAATATTGAACTTATCTAACAAATACCTTTACAGACACATCTAGGATTGACCAGAGACTAGGTCCATTACCAAGCCACGGTGACACATACAGTCAGCCATCATGGTCCCGATGGCTTCTTAGCCTCCCTCTGTGGCACAAACACTCCTCCAGAATGGAAGAGCCCTGGCACCTGGCACCTGGCCGCTGGGGGCCTAACTCTCTCTGGCGCAGATGCTCTAGTAGCATGGTCTGCAGCAATTATCCTAACTTATGTCAGGTCCTGTGACCTCATACCTGAATTATAAGGTCAGAATTCAAGCCTTTCACAAGATATCCTTCCCTTTGTGTCTGACTTTCTTGGTTTCTCATTATTTCCTACCATGGTGTTCAGCAGCCAACCGAGCCTGCGTCTGATCCTCCCCAGGAGGGGTGTTTCCACCCAGGTTTCTAATTCTACTTGACATATTCTTCTTTGGCTTCACCAATCTGTGTGTCAGCTCTGTCTCAGAGTCTGCCTCAAAATAGCCTTGTTCTCCCACCATTTTCACCTGATCACCCCCGAGTTTCTATCTTTGTTCCTGCATTACCTTATATCTTTCTTCCTTGTAATGTTTTACAGCCCCTTTGTATACGTAGTGTGTGTGTGTTTGAGAGATTTGTCCTAAAGACCACATTACAGTAGCTGCCCTACTTACCCCCATTTCTGCCCAAGTCCTTCGAGTTTTGCACATGATGACTTTGCAATAGCATTTGCAGAGCAACTCAGCCTTGCTCACTCTTGAGAGTGGATGTATATCTGCTGTGTCTCCCCAAGTCTGAGGGACAGAATCTGCCCAAGGCCCCACACGCAGTCCCTGGGCATCTGTGTGCTCCGCCTCCGGGGCAGGCTTCAGGAGGCTGCTCTGCTCCAGGATACAGCGGGCTGCGAGCCGGTGGCCAGGCCCTCTGCTGCCAGTACAAGACACAAAAGTCCAAAGCTGTTTGCAAGGAACTTTTTTCTGGCAATAAAATTGCTTTAAAAAAAAAAAAAATCTGCCCCCCTCCTCCCCCTGAAGAAATAGAATTTAAATTCAAACAGCCTCTACCTGCATCCTCCCTCTCATTACCTCCCAGTTAGTGCTCAGCGCCAATTGTCCATGAAATTCCACTGCTGCTGTTAATGAAATGAGGAGCGGAGAAGTTTGTGAACAGGAAGTAGCCATGCAAAGCTCCACCTGTTTCCTTCTTCACTTCCTATCTCCCCCGCCCCGGCCTCCTCTGCCATGCCATGCTCAGTGAGCTTCTGTGTTGATCCCGGCTTCTCACTTCCTCCCCCAGGTCATAGAGAGGGGAAGGAGGAAAAGGCCTGCAGCGAGCACTTTGCTGTGGGTCTCGCTCATTCCTGACTGGACACTGCAGGGAGCACAGGACTCGGCGTTCGGGAGACCTGATCCTGGCCTTCATTCCTTCCCTGTTTACTCAGAGAACTTCAACTTCACTTCTTAGCCTTCTATCTACTTTAGTTGAAATTGAGGCTCTTACAGTTACTCTACGCATAGCACAGAGCTTGTGAGATCAAAAGGAAGCAATGTATTTGACGGCCTTTTGAAAAGCAAGTAATGTATCACAGAATAAACATAAAACCTGTCTGCTATCAACATAGGAATTCTAGGCTTCAGTCTTTGGTGTGGGGTCCGACCTGCAGCTACCTCTACCAGAATACAGTTATGAGCTGTGGTTCTCCCCAGTATGTAACATTGAATATGTATGTATATATATATATATGCAGTGTGTATGTATATGTATGTATCTATTTTCAGAAATATATATTATATATATGGCCTGGCCACTAAGCAGACTCCTGTTGTTACATACCAAGTGGCCCTGATCTCCACTGGCAGCCAGGAACTCACTCTGAGCCTCAGGGTCAGCCTGCAGCCCGAAACAATGACATTATTAACCTGCGATCCTGCAGACCTCCTCCTGGAATTGTGCTCTCCGCCCAGGAAGGAGCACGGTTGCCAGCAGCCCTTATTTACAGAGCAGCTTTAGCTCAGCCCCTCCAACTGTTTACCCATCTCATGGTTCCTCTTTCACAGAGAAAGGAAACTGAGGAACAGAGCAAAAATGGGATTCTCCCAGCTGTGAGTGTTCCTACCATCTGCTGTTTTCCAGAATGCAGGAGGTAGTTATAAGGTAGTTTCAGCATTCACTGAGAAATCACAGCTCTGGTTCTGGGGGCTCCACTGGGTAACGTTCTGTTCATCACAGTACCTCAAGATAACTTCTGAGCGCTGCCCTGACCACCTGCTTAGCCTTTTCTACGTATTAGAAATAAATAGCAACAAAGTACTGGGGATCAAAGCTAGAGCCTCACACATGGTGCGCAAGCGCTCTACTGCTGAGCTACACCCCAGCCCCTGAGGTCTCCCTTTCTTACCAAGATGATCCTTGCCACCTTCTGTGTGTCTCAGAGGAGCAGGACCCGTGGTGGTAAAGGAAGCCGAGCTTCTCAATTCTTAAATGTCGGTGACATAGCGTCCCCTGTGTCCTGACTTTGACTCTGGGTGGGTCAGACCAGAAAGCAGAGAAAAGGAGGGCACGAGGGGAGGCGGCAGGAAACCTGCAGGTGGGGTGAGCTATTTTCCCAGCTCAGGCTCAAGGCTTCCCCCAAAACCTCTCACTTCTCAGGGATCCAATTATGGATGTAAGGCAAGGTAAGTCGGAGCAGATGAAGTTAATGAATTTTACCCTACCCTGTGAC